TTGCTATAATCACTTATTATTTCCAGGAAATTTTTTGTCAGATTTTTTGCATTTTCTACATAGAAGAACAAGCCATCTATGAACAAAGATAATTTTATTTTTTCCTTCCCAAACTGTGTATTTTTTATGTCCTTTCCTTATTTTATTGCATTATCTGGAACTTCTAGTATGATGTTGAAGGGGAGTGGGAGAGGGAAAATCCTTGCCTTGTACCTGATCTTAGTGGGAAAGCTCCCAGTTTCTTACCATTAATTATGATTAGGATTTTTAAAATATCAAGTTGAAGTTCTAGTAAATTTTTAAGTTTAATTATTATACTCCAGGTTTTCTATTTGATTTTTTTTTAAATAATTTATATCTCGTCCTGGCTGGTGTTCCTCAGTGGTTAGGGTGTAAGCCCACACACCAAAGGGTCATGGGTTCAATTCCCCATCAAGGGAATGTACCTGGGTTTCAGGTTCACTCCCCTCCCCTGGTAGGGAGTGGGGCACGTGTGGGAGGCAACCAATCGATGTGTGTTTCTCACATTGTCCCTGTTTCTCTCTCTCTCCCTCCCTCCCCTCCTCTCTCCCTCCCTGCCTTCCACTCTCTGAAATGCAATAGAAAAAAATGTCCTCAGGACAGGATTAACAACAACAACAAAAATTTATATCTCTTTATTGATAGTCTCCTTTTGGTTAGACATCATTTTTATATTTTTCCTGACTCCTTTAGACATAGTTGCCTCTAGTTCATTTTTATAATAGACTAGAGGCCCAGTGCACAAAAATTTGTGCACTCGGGGGGGGGGGGGGTGGAGAGGAGGTCCCTCAGCCCGGCCTGTGCCCTCTTGCAGTCTGGGAACCCTCGGGAGATAACGACCTGCTGGCTTAGGCCTGCTCCCGGGTGGCAGAGGGCAGGCCCAATCCCTAGGTGCAGCCCCTGGTCGGGCTCAGAGCAGGGCCGATTGGGGAGTTGGGGTGCCGCCCCCTGTCATGCACAGAGCAGGACCGATCGGGAGGTTGCAATGCCACCCCTAGTCATGCTCAGGGTAGGGCCGATTGGGGGGTTGGGGCACTGCCCCCTGTCACACTCAAAGCAGGGTCGATAGGAGGTTGCGGCGCCACCCCCTGTCATGAACAGAGCAGGGCCGATCAGGGGGTTGGGGCACTGCCCCCTGTCACGCACAGAGCAGGGCCAATCAGGGGGTTGAGGAGCTCCCCCCTGTCACTCACAGAACAGGGCCGATAGGGGAGTTGGGGCACCGCCCCCTGTCACACACAGAGCAGGGCAGATCAGGGGGTTGGGGTGCCGCCACTGTCACACTCAGGGCAGGGCCGATGGGGGGGGGGGGGGGGTTGGGGCGCCGCACCCTGTCACACACAGAGCCACAGGGCAATCAGGGGGTTGGGGAGCTCCCCGCTGTCAAGCACAGAGCAGGGCTGATCAGGGGGTTGAGGAGCTCCCCCCTGTCACGAACAGAGCAGGGCGGATAGGGAGGATGTGGCCCCGCCCCCTGTCACACACAGAGCCGCAGGGCGATCAGGGGGTTTGGTCGCTACCCCCTGTCACGCTGATCCCGGTTCTGGGAGGCCTCGCAGCTCCGCTGATCCCGGTGCTGAGAGGCATATTACCCTTTTACTATATAGGATAGAAGCCTGGTGCGCGGGTGGGGGCCAGCTGGTTTGCCCTGAAGGGTGTCCTGGATCAGGGTGGGGCTCCCGCTTGGGTGCCTGGCCAGCCTGGGTGAGGGGATGATGGCTGTTTGCATCTGGTCACACACCCTTTAGGGTGGGGGTCCCCACTGGGGTGCCTGGCCAGCCTGGGTGAGGGGCTGAGGGCCGTTTTCAGGCTGACGGGTGACTGAAGCTCCCAACCTGTCCTTTTTTCCTTTTTTTTTATTCTGGGCCAGCTTTAGCTCTGAGGCTCGGCTCCAGCTATGAGACCTCCGCTGCTGAAAGCAGGTTTCTGGCCTTTGTTTACCTTCTGTATTTGAAACAATGTTGCGGTCCTGCTGGCTGAAGCCCGGGGGTTTTGTTTAGCTTCTATATTTGTTACAGTGTTGCTTAGAGTGCAGCTGAGAGGCCGGCAAGGCAGGTGGGGAAGCTTGGCTTCCTCCGTCACTGAAGCAAGCAAGCCTCCCTGTTCGCGTCAGCTGCCTGGCTGCCGGCCACCATCTTGGCTGGCAGTTAATTTGCATATCGCCCTGATTAGCCAATGGGAAGGGTAGCGGTCGTATGCTAATTACCATGTTTCTCTTTTATTAGATAGGATGATTTAAAAACTGTCTAATAAGTTCAACATAAGGGACAATAGCTGTTGACTGCTTTTTTTCTCCTTATATAGGTCATACTCTCCCATTTCTTTGCATGTCTTATCGTGTTGGGGAACAGTGTAAAAACTGGTAATTTTAAATGATATAATATGGCATCTTTGGAAATTAGATACTCCCAAGGCTCATATTTGTTCCTGTTTGTTTGTTGATTGATGTTCAAGGACTAAATCTGTAAAGCCTGTTTTCTTTGTCATGTGTGGTCACTGTCATTTCTGCCATTTAGCTTAGTGGTCAGCTAATGAGTGGACAGAGATTTCCTTAAATGTCTTCCACTCTTTGCCAAGGGATTCTGTGTGTTGCTTCAGGCAAGCCTTCAAAGCTCTGAAAGTTTACTCTTCCTTATCCCTCATTTCCTGCTTCACCCAGGCCTTAAGGTTATTAGAATTGAGAGACTGGGGCCTTTTCATGTGTTTCCTGGGTTTACATACAGTTTTGCAAACACATATGGATTTCTAGACCCCCAGGTATGTCAGAGCTTTTCAAAGCCTTCTATCTACATGTCCTTCCTAATATTTCTTTTAAGTTTTTTGGCCAGCTTCTGGTTTGTCTCAATTGGTTTTCCTGCCCCAGGGAGTTGGGATGTCTAACAGTTTGCTGATGATTGTTTGGACAAACACCTAGGGATGGGCCTTCTCACTGTGTGAGCTCTGAGTCAGTCAATAAGACTAGCACTATGAATGGGGCTCTTACCAGGTCCTGCCAGACAAATCAGTGACATTTCTCTAGAGATGGGGCTTTTGGAGGAATTCCACACCCACTCTGCCCCCTCTAGTGGCTACTAGGCTTCTCTTTTTCACAGTTACGATAGTCCTGAGACAACTGGTTTTGAAGGCTACCAGAGTTTGGGAGAGGAGGATGGGGGGAAAGCAAGTCAAAATGCCAAGAGCTTGCTGTTTCCTACTCAGATTCAGCCATTTTTCTGAAATAAGTGCTCCTTAGATTTAGAAAGTTTGGGTTAATTTTCAGACTTCTGGGAAAGTTGAGTTTGATGTCTTGCCAGTGTTCTTGCTTTCATGGAGGAATGGATTTTCATATGCCATCCTCTGCCATTTCAGGAGTGCATATTTAGGTTACTTTTACTTTAAGAGGCATAAAGCTTTTAGAAATGTTGGCCACTCTTATGAAGAAGTGGTCTTTGAGTATACATTCTGCACTTAACATGAAGAAATAAGTTCTTTTTTGTTTCCAGTGTTTTCCCTTATAGCAGTGTTAAGATCCTTACCCAACCGGACTGTGAACGTTTACTTTGCAGGAAACACATTAATTTTCATTTTATTTTGTGCTGGCTCACTCATGTCGTGCTCTTAGGTCATGATACAAGACAGTATGTTTCCTCACTTCTAGAGAAGTTAAAACTCTTAATGACAATGTTATAAGATAGAGTTCTCTTATTAATGAGACAGCCAAGACTCAGGCTATTTCCTGCCAACACTTCCTACAGTGGTCTTCTCTAAATCAGGCCCTACATTCAGGACAATAAAACTTATCAAGGCGTATTTTACACCGAAATCACCCTGGCACTTCCCGAACAGCTGCTAGAATACACCAAAAATGTGCTCTCTAATAAAGAAGTATTCAAGAAGGAATGCTAAAAATAATCAAATGTAATTGGTATGCTCCACGTTTGTAAAATTAGCTTCTCAGTATTATAAGAGCTGCCCTGTTCATAGTGTCCACAATGTGGAGGAAGATGACAGCAAAGGGAGGAGCTCATTTCTTTGAGATGAGTTTTATACAAGGTAAAGGGTTCTGACCGAATGGTCAGTTATTGTGGACTTTTTCAAATGGGTAAAATCACACTCATGTTCACAGGCAAGGGCTTGCATGATCACTGCCAACAAGTTTATTTTCAAGATGATTTGATGCCTTTATTTAAAATCACCTTTTAGCCCGGCCAGTGTGGCTCAGTGGTTGAACATTGACCTATGAACCAGGAGGTCACAGTTCAATTCCCGGTCAGGGCACATGCCTGGGTTGCGGGTTTAATACCCAGCAGGGAGCATGCAGGAGACAGCTGATCAATGATTCTCTCTCATTATTGATGTTTGTATCTCTCTCTCTCCCTCTCCCTTCCTCTCTGAAATCAGTAAAAAATAGTATATAAAATAAAATCACCTTTTATTATTGATAGGAATCTGGGTGCACATCTTACAAAATAGACTGTAAGGCACTCAAGATTTCCAAATATCTATCACCCACAGAGCTCTGGCAAATAGAGGAGATAAATGGAATTATCAAAAATAAGTTAGGTAGCCCAGCTAGCATGGCTCAATGGTTGAGCATTGACCTATTAACCAGGAGGTCACGGTTTGATTTCCAGTCAGGGTTGTGGGCTCAATCCCCAGTAGGGGGCGTGTAGGAGGCAGCTGATCAGTGATTCTCAGTATTGATGTTCCTATCTCTCTCTCCCTCTCCCTTTGTCTCTGAAATCAATAACAATATATGTTTAAAAATAAGTTGGGTAAAGTGGTTGAGAAAACTAACTCTCCTTGTCTACTTCTCCTTCCTCAGGTTCTATAATATGTTCTCTTGAAAGTAGCCATCAACTGAGACCTCATGAATCCCTTCCTCAGGAGGTTCATGCTCTGTTCTCTCTTTCATTCTGCTGTTGGAAATGAATACGTTGATCAGATCATTTGGTCCTTTTAACAAGTGGTTTCTATTCTCTCCTTTTGTTTCCCTACAGATCCTGCCATAATTGACTGATGGAAAAATAGACTCATGGGTCTGACATCACCCCCATAAACCAACACTTGAATAATTCAACCTATCAGAGCCCTGGTTCTTGTCCAGAAAAATTCCAGCCCCAAAGCAAAAGATTTCTCTGGAGGGAAATGCTCACCCACAAACAGGTAAAAAGAAATAGTGAAGTTGACAAAGGATATGATTGTGCTTATTATGTCGGTATTTTTGGTAATGTGCTTCATGTTCTTTTTTTAATTAGTCATATGATGCAGCCCTTTTCTTTCCCCTGGCTCTGATCGCTAACCCTCAATTTAGCAGACCACACTTATGCCAACTGGGATAAACACTCCTTCTAAAAAATTTTTTTGGTCAGGGGCTACGTTTTTAAATGTCTCAACTGGTATTGTCAACTTCCAGAGGTTCTCAACCTGTGGGTCGCGACCCCTTTGGGGGTCGAACGACCCTTTCACAGGGGTTGCCCAAGACCATTGGAAAACACATTTATAATTACATATTGTTTTTGTGATTAATCACTATGCTTTAACTATGTTCAATTTGTAACAATGAAATTGGGGGTCATCACAACATGAAGAACTGTATTAAAGGGTTGCGGCATTAGGAAGGTTGAGAACCACTGATCTACACCAAGAACAGACTCCCTCCTTGATTGCGATATCGATCCAACCAATGCCTCAAAGTTCATAATCAAATAGAAATTGCCTCAGCCCTAGCCAGGTGGCTCAGTTGGTTGGAGTGTAGTCCCCTGCACAAAAGATTGCAGGTTAGATTCTGGTCAGGGCACATACCTAGGTTGTGGGTTCAATCCTGGTCAGGGAACATATGGGAGGCAACTGATGTTTCTCTCTCTCTCCCTTCCTCTCTCTAAAATCAATAAACATAAACTCAAGGTGAGGATTCAAAAAAATTGTCTCAGATAATAGATTGTATGGAGCCAGATGACAAACTCCTTAGAATACAACCCTCAAGGGTGCAACCCACAGAAATCAGAATCATATGCTACCATTGCAAGAGAAAATACCCTATAGGCAATCATTTATTTATTCATTCATTTCACATGTCATAGAATTTACTTATTTAAAGTTTATAATGATTTTGCCAAGTGGTGCAACCTTACTGTAAAAGAGTTTTATTGTTTTTTGTTTTTTTACTTTTAATTTTTATTGAATTTATTGGGGTGACACTGGTTAACGAAATTATGCAAGTTTCAGGTGCACAATTACACAACACATCATCTATCTGTACACTGTATTGTGTTCACCACCCCAAGTCAAGTCTCCTTCCATCACCCTATACCTTCCTCTACCTCCCCCCAACCCCGTAGCATTTAGAACATTTTCATTCCTTCTCATACACATTTATAGTTAATCCCTGTTCCCAAATCCAGTCCCAGGCAATCACTAATCTACTTTCTGTCTCTATAAATTTGCCTTTTCTGGACTTTTTATACAAATGGACTTTCACTTGGCATAATGTTTTTGAAGTTCATCCATGACATAGCATGTGTCAGTAGCTCATTAGCTTTTCTTGCTAAAAAGTATTCCATTCTATAGATACAACACATTTTGTCTATTCATTCACCAGTTGATGGACATTTAGGTTATTTCCAGTTTGGGGCTTTCATAAATATGCTGTTATGAACATTCAAATGTAAGTTTTTGTGTGATATATATTCTCATTTCTCTTGATTTGCTGGGTTATAAGACTTTTACAATTAATTTTTGAGAAACTGACACTGTTTTCCAAAAGGCAGAACCATTTACATTCCCATCAGCAATGTATGAGGATTCCAATTTTTCCACATCCTTGCCAACATTTGTTATTGGCACTCTTATATATCATAGTCAGTCTAATGGGATGAAATGGTGTATTATTATGGTTTTAATTTCCATTTCCAAGCATCTTTTCATGTGCTTGTTAGCCACTCATGTACTTTCTTTGATGAAATTTCCATTTATTTATTTTGCCCATTATTGACAGGGCTGTTTGTTTTTATTATTGAATTAGTGGCCCAGTGCACGAAATTCATGCACTCGCGGCGGGGGGGGACACACACTCCCTCAGCCTAGCCTGTGCCCTCTCACAGTCTGGGAACCCTCGGGGGATGTCTGATTGCCACAGAGGCAGGAGAGGCTCCCACCACCACCGCTAGGCTTGCCAGCCGTGAGCCCAGCTTCTGGGGGAGCACACTGACCACCAGGGGCAGCTCCTGCATTGAGTGTCTGCCCCCTGGTGGTCAGTGCACATCATAGCAACCAGTCATTCAGCTGTTTGGTCAATTTACATATTAGCCTTTTATTATATAGGACTAGTGGCCCAGGGCACGAAATTCATGCAGGGGGTGGTGTCCCTCAGTCTGACATGCACCCTTTCCAACCTGGGACCTCTCAGGGGATATCTGGCTGCAGGATCGGGCCTAAACCGGCATCGGACATTCCTCTCACTATCTGGGACTGCTGGCTCCTAACCGCTCACCTGCCTGCCTGCCTGATCACCCCTAACCACTCGGCCTTCCAGCCTGATTGTCCCTAACTGCCCCCCCTTCCAGCCTGATCACACCCAACTGCCTCCCCCTGCCGGCCTGCTCATTCCCAACTGTCCCCCTTAGCTGGCCTGCTCACCCCCAACTGCCTCCCCCCGCCGGCCTGATGGCCTCCAACTGCCCTCCCCTGCCAGCCTGATCACCCCTAACAGCCTCTGCCTCAGCCCCGCCACCATGGCTTTGTCCGGAAGGACATCCAGAAGGTCTCCCAGTCTAATTAGCATATTACCCTTTTATTAGTATAGATTGTTGCCATTCTTTGCATAGTATGGATACGAATCCTTTATCAGACTTGTGTTTGGCAAATATTTCCTCCAATCTGTTGCCTTTTAAATTACTCAGTGGTTGAGCATTGACCCATGAACCAAGCGGTCACTGATTCTATTCCCAGTCCAGGTACATGTCTGTGTTTGGGCTCGATACCCAGTAGGAGGCATGCAGGAGGCAACTGATGGATGTTTCTCTCTCATCGATATTTCTCTCTAGTCCTCTCCCTTCTTCTAACTCTAAAAATTAATAAAAACATGCTTTAAATTACTCAATAGTATATTTTAAAGTGGAAAAATTTTGAATTTTGATGATGTCCTATTTATCAGTTTTTTCAGTTATACACTATGCTTTTAGTTGAAAAATAACTAGGAAAATATGGTAGAAGTTTTGATCTCAGAAAACTTTGCCTAACACTGGATCTAGAAAATGGTTTTCTAAGATATTTATTGTTTTAGCTGTTACACTTAAGTCTATGATCCATTTTGTGTTGATTTTGTTTTGTAGGTTATTTTTGTGTGGTTTTTTTTTTTTCTTGAGTTGATTTTGTGTATGGCATGAGTTGTAGGTCTAAGTTCATCTTTTTGCATGTGGGTACTCAATTGTCCCAGTACATTGTTGAATAATTGCCTTAGCAACTTTGTCAAAAATCAATTAACTATAAATACAATATTTATTTCTGGCTCTGATTCTGTTTCATTAATCTATGTATTTATCCTTATGCCAGGACCATTGCTCTAGATCTTGATATGAAAAATTATTAATACTTTCTGTAAGCCAATGACTCCTAAGAACTTGAAAATGATAGCTACAGAGGTAGGATTCAGACAAGTACTTTTATTTTATTTATTTTTTAATCCTTATCTGAGAATATTTTTCCATTGATTTTTAGAGAGAGTGGAAGAGAGAGGAAAATACAGAGAGAAATATCGATGTGGGAGAAACACATCCATTGATTGCCTCCTGCACGTGTCCCGACCAGGGTCTGGGCCAGGGAGGAGCCTGCAACCGCAGTATGTGCCCTTGACTGGAATCTAACCCAGAACCCTTCAGTCCACAGGCCACTGCTATATCCACTGAGCCAAAATGGCTAAGGCCAAGCATTTTTATAAATGATTCATAATCAGCACAGTAGACCTTTGATAAGGTATGTTGGATTGAGGTGATTCTAATCTTAAATTTCAGTAATTCTAATCTATAATAATAAAAGCATAATATGCTAATTAGACCAGACAGCCGAACAACCTTCCAGATGTCCTTCTGGATGACCTTCTGGGTGAAGCTGGGACTGGGAGGGCCGAGCCCCTTGCACGAATTTTGTGCATTGGGCCTCTATTACATCTATAAACATGCCATATTTGTAGTGTCACAAATTCTGTAGCAAATATGAAACATTAATTGACTGTCTTCACAAGACTATTTAGGGTGGTAGCCAGTAGATTGCACCACTTTTCATTTAAAGTTGGTCCTCCTCCTTCTTACCAAAACCAAGCCCAAAAAATACATTTGTAACCATGACCATGCCAGAAATATACTGACCATAGCGTAACAGTCTTTGTAGTAGTCATTAGGTCTGTTGACAAACATTCTGATCCCCCTCTCCTTCCAGGCACATGTAGGATTGTACTTCCCTGGTCTCCTTGAAGTTAGTCATGGTCATAACTTGAACTGGCCAACAAAATAAGTGATAGGTGGGTGCCACGCCAGTGTGGCTCCGTGGTTGACTATTGACCTATGAACCAAGGGGTCATGGTTTAATTCCTGATTAGGGTGCATGCCCTGGTTGCTAGCTCAATCCCCAGGAGCGGGTATGCAAGAGGCAGCTGATAAATGATTCTCTCTCAACATTGATACTTCTCTCTCTCCCTCTCCCTTCCTCTTTGAAATATATATAAGTGATGGGTGGAAGTTTTAACTGCCGGGGTGGATTTCACCAAGTTCCCTATTCCTGTCTCATAAAAGTGTGACCAGATGGAGCCTCCATCAACCTGCCTTGCTGAGTGCCCAGCAGTATCCCCCTGACAACCCACTTTAATCACTGTAGCTTGAGCAAGAAATGTTAGTTGTGTTAAGCCACTGAGATCTCAGGGATGGTACTGTAACATAACCCAGCTTATTACAACTGCTACAAACTATACTTTTTTTTAAAAATTGTTTTATTGCTTAAAGTATTACAAAGAGTATTGCATATGTCTCCTTTCTTTTTTCCGCCCTTGACAATCCCCTGGCCTCCCCTACCCCCCAGTGTCTTATGTCCATTGGTTATGCTTGTATGCATGCATACAAGTCCTTCGGTTGATCTCTTACCCCCCCCCCCCTTGCCCCCCAACCCTTCCCAGC